TTTAGCACTTTTAATATACCTGTAACAGGAAGAATTTTTTGAAACCATAGGAGTTTCTCTCAAAGCGGTCAATCACTCAACTATCCCTGCGAAAATCCCAAAATGCATATAACTCCTCGTAACGTTTGCCGGGTTTTTATCGCGCAAATTAAAACATTGTTTATCTGCCAGCGATGCACCGAGAAGTTTCTCATTAGTTAGGGGAATCACGGGTTTCGCTAGTTCGGGCCGACTTGCTGAATAGTTGGTAAATAATTGTAGGACTCTAATTACACTAGAGTTTGTACCTGAACAAAAAAGCCGACTTGCTGAACTCGATAGTAGAATGCGGTTGCCGGTTTCTCTCGCGTTAATTGGTGTACGTACGGCTGCTGAAATGTTTATAATTTGAACGCAAAATTTCGTTGAAGTTGCGCGTCGAATTCGCACGACTGGCCATCGCTAAAACGAAAGGTAAAATAATTATTAATGGCGATTTTGATTTTACGCGGCCGTTTCTATCGGAATTGCGTTCGATTCGCGTTTATTGCACGCGGGTTTTCCGATGTTTTTCCGATAAATGGCGACGATATAATATGCTAATTTTAATCGGAAGCTCTTTACATATCCATTATCGGTGATATTTTTTTAAATTGCCGAGGATTTAGCTTGTTATGACAAGGAATATTCGCTCGTTTATGCCATTTGCATTCAAATTATGTTTTATTTTCCGCCGAATCACCCATCCTAAAAACCTAATACGTATAAATAACAATCTAACTAAAACGTTCCATCAACTCTGCCATTGGATTTTATTGGTGTTAAAGGAAACATCAAATTTAAAGAAAAATGGTCTATAGGTACGTTATAATTCAGAAATCAATTAGCGGCAATCATCGCATTAATTAATAAAGCTCGATATAACTTAGGAAGCAAATGTCAGGAAGTATTACTGGTGATATTTCTTTTAAAGAAGATTAATGATCCTGCAGGATAATAGTGATGGAAATAGATGGAGAGCAATCGCCGTAGTCTCGGCTAATGCAATACACTTTGGTATTTCAGCGGCATTTATAATAATTACAGAGTGCACACGTAAGGTATTCTATGAAGGAAAATCAATGATTACGTCGAGGAGTAAGCGTACATCTTTTTAAATTGTAATTGTCAAGTATACTTAAATTTCCAAGTCAGACAAGGCACATATTCTTACTTAGAAAACCGATTTATCATTAATGTGTGATATATGGAATTCTTGCGATTCCAACCATTTCACCGTCATCTAAAAAAGTATCTTCGTAAATTAGCGAATGTATCATTTTCGAGACGGAATTAATAGAAAACAAATAGAAGACGTTTAGCCGCGTTTCGCTAAAATTAGCTAGTGTAACGAATTGCTTTTATGTTGCACGGTTTCCGCATCAAATTCTTGCTCTGGCGAACCGTGAAACAAGTTTCTTGTTTGCCATAGTCCAGCGTGCATGCGGATATGGCCAGAACGAAGTGAAGAAGGAGCACAAAGTAAAATCGCCCGAATTGAAAACCAAGAAAATTGTTTTATCCAAAGCATACCTAAAATGAATATGTGAAAAATTTAAAGCGATTGAGTTAAATTAAATGCGGTTAAATTAATATACCCGTCAATTTTTCCAGATTATTTTTAATAAATAAATGATGCATATGATAATAAAATAAACAGATTTAATTTACATGTCAATTTTGCAGCATATAAAACAAATCCTGCTAAGTAATAGCTAAATAATTATACACTTAAACAAACAGAACTAGCGCCAATTTGGTATAATGCCTTTTGTAGGTAATATTTGATTGTATCAATCATTTTTATAGGACATCAATCGCGCACCGATCGAATCGAATTGAAAGTAAATATTTAATTGAACCCATCATCAAAGCCATTAATTATATACGTGGACCCTCTACGTAAAATTCGTTAATTAGAATAGCAATGCAGTTTTCGCACACCAGTGGCTCCACCATTTTATTTTATTCTTCAAAATTTTAAATGAAAGAAAACTGTTAAAATTAAAATGTTAGAAAACTAAAATATTAGAAAATGTAATTATAAAAATTCTGAGGAACTAATTTTTTTGTTCAAACAGTAATTGAGAGTAAGTTAAGATAAATTTTTTAATAGATAACTAAATAAAATCTGCAGTTAGGACTCCCCATCCAATTTTTTTTGAATATGTCATATAAAAAATATTGTTACAACGACTCTGTCTGTCACTCCATCGGCGATTGTATAATTATTTAACAATTTATTTGCTAATCATTTCAATATTAAAAGCTACTATTGGTTCAAATCAGCGTTCGCTAAAGCGTTAAACGCAATTTGTTAGCGTTTATTAAAATGTTGTCTATCTATGGTATTCGTTTATTTAACGAAATTGTTATTTGCATTGCCTCACAGTAAATAGGTATAGTGTAATTGAAATGGTCAGAGCTCTATCAAATATGGTCCAGGAATAAATGTACAATTTTTTATTTTAATCTTAACCCGCCATAACAGATTCTTTCGAGTTGACGAGCAGCTGCAATACTATAAATGTACCTAAGTATCTGATGATTTATTCAGTATATGTAGCAGGAAAATATTTCCATGCAAGCGGATATGACAAAGTGCTCCTAATATAACTCGTTTCAAACTCCATTTAAGAAATTTAATAAAAAGTTACATGACCATCAGAAATTACCTACTCAAAAAAACATCAAATATTCATCAGAGGGAGTAAAACAAGCGATGTAACATCCTGTCTCGTCATCCGCGGGAAAATTCAATATTCGGCCGTGTACACATTTGAAAAGCTTTAAAAATCTCGCCGTGGCTACGATTACGTTAATGTGAACGTAAATTATCCTAACACGGCAATTTATTTTAGCAAAAATGAGTAATTTTGTAGTAGTGACTTTTTTGCTAATCGAATAATTAGTGAAAAAGAGGATAATTTTGTATAAAAAATGTATGAAAATTTGTTTTTGAAAAATATGATTATACTTCACTGGTAAAATATTGAATGAAGTAGGAAATTATCTCAAAATCGACAAATTTACTTAATAAAAGGTTGAATAAAGGCGGCTAATTAATTAATTAACGGAATTAAGTATGTTTACAGGCGAAATTCGATTAATTCAAGGACTAAATTGGGGTGGTTGATCGTATAAAAAAATGTACCATACTTGTGTAAGTACCTACCTAGATTAAAAAATATTACCGAGTGAAACTTCCCGTGGTGATGTTAGCAACCAGAACGGTCGGAAACGAAACGAGAGTCCCCAAAGTTGAAATTCCCCAGAAAGAGGGTCGGAGTAAGCTCATTAAGTTAATGACGTGTGCTCGGAGGTGAGCTTTGATACGTTTTATGCACGTTGATGTCCGACCGTCGAGCGAATGATTTGATTCAGCGTCGAAGATACCTGTGCCTTATCGACGCCAACTATCTGGTCGTCGACGGTGTTTCCCGGCGCAATCAGATGGGGAAAGTCGAACACTTGGCACGTCGCATTCCGAAAGCTTTGCAGTCTTTACACCTTTGAGGGCCCCCAGTGTTTTCCTGCCTTTCGCCTCTTTGACGAATCCATCTACAAAGCCATCGGACCTCGGTGGTGTACCTCAAAAATTTTTAGGCAATTTTGCTTTGTGAATATTCTATTCCATATTTCTCTCCAACTGATGCAAATCCCCAAAAACGTCGACTAAAAGTTTTGCTAATTAATTTCTTAGGCGAAATTGGCGTGAAATTATTTAGATAATTCAACTGAAATGATAACGATGAGATAAACAAGCGTGTTTTCCAGCCACTGAGGCGATCTTAATGGGCTATTTAACATCGCTCGTGACGCTGATTTATTGTAAACTCTTAATGGCAAATAAAAATAAGTGCGGACTCCTGTTTCAGGACCTTTTCTCATTCTCTTACCCGGTATAATTAATCTTTTTCCGTAACGCGCCGTTTTTTCTAGCGCCGGCGTTTTCATTTAAAATGGAAATTTTTGACGGGTCGGGATTAAAATTGCGAAAGTTTCTCAACGACTTTTAAACGAGGATGACTGCATTTATTAATTAGAAAATTACCAGATTAAATCCGCAACTAAAAATACATCGAATAAACATAAATAATTTACTCGCATCGTCGGGATGTATACCTACTTAAATCCAGCAAATACGATCTTAAAAAGTTATGAAAAGTACTTCAACTTTATTTCTAAAACGTTACCTTATTTATTTACTATCTACATAAATCTTGCGTATAATCAGAGGAAACCTTTTTCCTAAAATAAACTCCGGCATCGGAAACCGCAAGGCCGCCTCAGGCTATTTTCATTCCATTTTTATGCTCAAAGAGTTGCCTCAGCCCAATCTCGAGATACCGTAATTATTCGAAATGTTTTTCTCATTTGATTACTAGAAACGTACGCGGGAAAGTTTATTCCTCCTGCCAAGAAACGAGGCTTCCCGTTTACTATAAATTATTTCCATCTCGTTAGAGACCGCGAAGAATCAATCCAATCGAATCATCCTCTCCCCAAGTCCCACCAAAAGCATATTGTTTCAAACCGTTCACTTTATACCTACAATATGTACCCAATAAGAGGCGAAAGAGCGATTTATTCGACCGTTCGCTCTAAACGTCCCACTTCTGATCCCGCTTCTGATTTTTCTGGATATGAATTTAAACGGGAACGTTCGCGGCGGGAGCGGCAGCGACCCATCGCGGCCACCTGCGACTGATGCCCCGAGTCAATGAATGCAACGAATGTGAGATATTGGACCGTCTTCGGGACGGGAAAAAAATTACTTTCGAGCGATCGTAAATAAGCTGTATAAGGGGACACTCGCTCGACAGAAGTCGATTCTTTGCGACAATATTGAGTTTTATGGATCAAGGGGGTTGGGGTAGATCCGAAACGGGTCGCATTATTAAAAAATAAGGTCTTCAGGTGGAATCGATAGAATTTATCTGTTTCAATTCGTGTCTTGGATATGCAATATAATTCCATTTTTAAGAAGAAATACGAGTAAATACTAATTAATAGTAATATGTTTTAACGATTTTATAATGCAATTTTATAGTTTTTATCTAATACAATAATAAGTAGAGATCATACATGTTTTTATAAGATAATAAAGATATTACAAAATTATTAGTCTTTATTCTGATGATTATTTTTCAATTGAACTGCATCGTAAATTTTATCAGTAAAAATCTTGTATCTCATCATCAATTTCCTTTTGGTCTTATTGGGTATAACCATGAGAGTGGTGTACGTGTTACCGATGAAGAAGGCCAGAAAAATCGCCGCTAGAGCCGTTATTTCCCAAGAAGCTTGCGAATGGTAGCTCAAATTGAACAGAACCACTGCATTGACCAGCTGGAATAAGTACCCGATGAATAAAAATGGCAGAAGAAAGGCGAGCCCTTTCCACATCCACGATTGGAAACCCTCCAAGGTTATGTCCATGTTTTGCATCTCGCCCAGCGCCTTGAGTCTGTACAAAGTGCCTTTCTGGTATTTGAACTGTAGATACTGCATAAAGGCGCTGTATACGGTGTAATAGAGAAACTGCTTCCTGAATAGAGCCCATGGTTCGTTGTTGGGCCAAATGAGGAACAGACTGGAACTTAAAATCGAAAGAAGATGGTGCACCCTCCACCAGCCCTTTATTCTCGAACCGTTCACTTTAAGAATGCTCTCTCTGATCGATATAGTGCAGTAATACCATATCAAGAATCCCATGAACAATTGTTCTAACGGTCGGAAGTTCATGTTTAACGACAACACCACCATAAACAAAGCCACGAAATTCGATAATAGCTTAAAATTTTCGTAATCTTCTTTGTATTTGAATTTATTCTCTTTATTTAAGAACGACACGTCGATATTTCCCAAAATCAGCTTCAACATAAACCGGTCGCTTTTTCTGGGCAAGGTTTGCTCAATGTCTTCTAATGCTTTTTCCCTTTTGAGCATGCCGACCTTTAAATCCTCGGCTTCGCTATCTGATGCGTTATTCAGCGTTTTACTTATCGCTTTTATCCTGTATCTCTGGTGATGGATGTGCTTCTGGCATTTTTCCTGCAGTACCATCAATTCCTTCACTTTCTTCAGATATTCAGCGTTCGTTTCCTCCAGTATTTTGAAGTCATCGGCGAGCTCTTTCCACTCTTCCAACGCACTGCCTATCATTTTTACACCGATCCACCGATTATTATAACTTTGTTATAAGTACGTTTCTCGTTAAACAATCTAAACAAAGTGCACGATTAGATAATATACCGGTTATTTTATTACACTCGATCGCTACAGTGCTAGAGTACTTTACACTTTGAACGGAGATATTAGAAAATATGTTGATAGATATTCGGAGACTCTCAGGTTTACAACTAGTTTTTTAATTACACGTTAGCCCAGATTCACAAGGTTGTGTTATTGTATTTCGTAAAAATATTTATCCAAATTTTTAAGCAACTGTATAATTTAATAACAATACTTGTGACGTGTAAACCTATTAGCATTATCAGCATTAATGTATCCGTATCAATATTCATCAATTCACGTGAGCTCGTTGGGGTAGAGTGTTGTACCAACACCATATATATACACTAGAAATACCCTTATCTTCAATCTAAATAATTGCAGAATGATATGTTAACATTCGTGTAAAGAATTCTGAAACATTCTGTATACAAAATTCCAATGAGCAGTTATACCTGCTCGAAATGAAAGGCTTATGGAAATTGTATTATCACACGTCTATGTAAAACGAGTAGGAGAAACACGTCGGTGGGAACACACACAATTTGAAACAATACATAATGCAACAGCGTCTCCCTTTATCCCTCGCCATCCCAAGGAGTAGCGTCCAATCTTTTACAATTCAATAGAATCTCATGAATAGCCCATTTCGACTAACGGAAGCAAATTCTACGCGTTAGATCCATCGGAATAATTCATTAACAAAACGATAAAACTGATATGTTATACATGTAGTCCGGCGAAAAAGTAATTGCATGGGAACTCAAAGTTCTACTGTCTTTGATATCAGTGGAATCTGGACAAAATAATAAATTAATTGTAGTGACATAATAAATAATTTGGTTAAATTAAATTTGTTTTAATTAGTAGAAACTATAAACAAATTAGTTCTATTCAAGGTTTTGTCTATAAAATAGGAAGGTACGAGGCATTAATTAATATGCTAAAAAAATTAATTGTTACACAGTTAACAATTACACATAAAAATTATTACTTTCATGTGAGTAAATAAAAAAAATAAATGAAACAGACCCGTGAGTTAAAAATATTTCAGCTGTACGAAGAGCCACTTTACTTGGATCATTAAGTCAAATCTTAGGAAATCGCTTATCTAAACTCAATCTCGTACAAAAAAAAATCGCCGGTTATCTCGACTTAATAAGTGAGACATTCCCTTTCGTCGAATAACCCTCGAACGTAATAAAGCAAGGGATCGTTTCCCGGGCGCTTTTTTCCACGTCGACTTTTTCTCGAGAGTACATCTCAAGAATGTATAATTAACTCACCGCCGACTTCAAACAATCTAATTTCGCGAAACCGACCGAGTTTATTTAGCGGAGGAACTGCTGAGGAAGTAAAATAATGATTCTTGGGGGGTCGTCGGCGGAAAAGAGCAAAACGCAAACCCGCGCCCGTCGCGGCGCCTCCTCTTTGTTTGAGAATTTCCACGGTTCTCCCTCGACCGGCGTTAACCCACCTGAGATCAGTTCGACGGTTTCGCGATTTTCGAATAATTGAAATATGGTTAGGGGTAGCTCCTATTGACTTTGCAAACCGAGTTTAATTCGAATCATGCGGGCGTTTATCACTAATAGAAATTGTTTGGTGATTAAGATATTAAAGTTGTAAAAACAAGACGATTTATTACGAATTATTTTATTAGAAAAAATAGAAACCACTGAGTTTTTTTATAGGTGAGCTAGGTTTTCCGGGTTTCACCAGCGGTGGTGGGGAATCACTCGGTGTCCCATATGACCGAATAGGTGACCGTAATGATTTATGTAGCCGCCATGATAACCTTGATGGTAGCCGTGATAACCTTGATGGTAGCCTTTGTAGCCTTTGTAACCTTTGTGGTGGTGATCCTTAATTTTATAATGGTGGTGCTTCCTCAAATTAGATTCGTCATGGGCAGGAGCCGATTGCGATGGTAAAATTGATAATGCCATCAAAACGAGCAGTAAAAATACCTAAAATTATATATAAATGAAAAAAAAATTGAAAAAAGGAGTTAAATTAAATAGTCTTACCGTAAACTTGGCCATTTTGAATTTCTAGGGAGCGATCTACTTGCACGGTAGAAACCTTGTTGATAACTGTGGTAAAAGTGTCCAAGAATATGAGCTTTATAAGAATTGGTAATATTGTATTTTCGAATACCTACTAAATTATTCTTAGTATAATTAAGAAGGATTCTGACGTAACAAATCGTTTCAGACACTCTGAAAAATCGTCATTAAGGTAATGAGATGGTAATGGTTTAAAGAGAAATCCCGATCGTCCCAAAAGCAAAATTTAAAACTTATTAAAACCCAATTTATAGTTTATGCTGCAGGTAATTTGTCATTTCCGTTTGTATTGCTTGTCTGCACTTGACATTATACAATAATGGTCAAAAGTATGCTTCCCCTTCATACCTACATTGGAAAAAATAAAAAGAAATACGACCTATAAATTATTGTATTATACCTATAAAGTTGATTCAAATTATTTTATTAAACTGAATGCCTAAGGGTAATAAAGCTCATACATAATAAAAGAATCCGAAGTAAATGCATTCGGTCATAATAAGTACAAGAGAGGCTGTCCAATAGTATGAAGAACCAGTTGCTGGAGTCGTAGAAGTTGTACTAGTTGTTGCAGAAGTTGTACTAGTTGCTGCAGAAGTTGTACTAGTTGTTGGAGAAGTTGTACTAGTTGCTGCAGAAGTTGTACTAGTTGTTGCAGAAGTTGTACTAGTTGCTGCAGAAGTTGTACTAGTTGCTGCAGAAGTTGTACTAGTTGCTGCAGAAGTTGTACTAGTTGTTGCAGAAGTTGTACTAGTTGCTGCAGAAGTTGTACTAGTTGTTGCAGAAGTTGTACTAGTTGCTGCAGAAGTTGTACTAGTTGTTGGAGAAGTTGTACTTGTTGTTGTAGGAATTGGATCAAGTCCATTGTACTGATTGAGATAGTTCATTACGTAAACATTTGATAAAGAGTCAAGGTCTGTGGCTAACAGAAAATCCAAATGGGTGAATCTCGGGTAGGGTATTTCAAATGTAGTCACATTTTTCAGTTTGCTTGCCAATTCATCGATTTCCTGAAAGAGTGTAAAGCAATAGCAGACGTTATTACAACATTTTTTTAGTGTTGTTCTACTTACGGGTTTGGTAACAATCAAATCGTTTTGACCATAAAAAAGGCCGATAGGAACTGATATATTGGAAAAATCATATTCTGGTGGACTTCTTTGGTTATAGACATCTAAATTTTTAATAATTCCATAATCGAATTTTCTAAGTTTTCCTGAAATATTATCATATTAAAATGTCGTTTTTAGCAAGATTGCCGCTTCTCAAAACATACCCGAAATTTTTGTTTGCAGAAAATGGTTCACCTGTTTAATCGACGTTCCTGCCGGAAACGATAGCAGGAAATCGTACATAACATTCTAAATAATAGAAAAACATATTAATCATTAGGCACTTTCTATTTAATTAAAAATGTAATATTATGTTTTATGTTACCTTATCTAATTCTTTTGGGTCGTATCCTTGAAGAAGGAACAAAGCTGTTTCGCATAGCATTTGATATTTGGAATCGTCTTTACAGAGAAAATAGAGTGCAGCTTCCACGGCAAAGTTATGTTGTAAAAACTCGTTTAGTTTTAACGTCTTTTCTAAAGCCTGCAAAGAAAAAATCGTTAATATCCTATCCATTTTCGTTAAACAAAAAAAATATATTTTAGGTTATTTACCAGCACTGCTGTGTAGTCATTGGCATTGATCATGTTCAAAACAATACTGCTGGAGTGATTGACATAAACTACCGGAGCCAAAGCTGCCATTGCGTTTATCTTTTTATTGTACTCTGATTTGGACGAAGCCAGCATGAAAAATTCCGCAGCCCCGGTGGAATGACCGACGAAAGACAAACTCTGAGTGCCTGTCGCCTTTAAAACATAATCGACGATGGCAGGAGCATCTTCTGTACCTAACTCGTCTAAACTATAAAACGATTAACCCCATATAATATATCAAAATAATTTAATATTTACCAGAAATCCCAGAAAGTGTCATTTTTATCAGGGTTCAAAGTCTTGTGATTTCTACTCCACGAGTTTCCTCTGCTGTTTCCTAGCCACACGTCGTATCCGATGTCGGAAAGTCTTAGCGGCAGGGCATTTCCAACACCAACGTGGAAGAAATCAGCAGAGGAGCCCAATAACCCGTGCATGATGAGAACCGGGGGTCTTCCATTCGTTTCTTTGCTCTTTGGACTGTACTGAACGCGATGGATCTCCAATATGTAACCGTCTGCTGTAGTAACAGAATGTTTCTCGAACGGATAACCGAATCCCTTGACTTTGCTTTCCTGAAATATTTGCGTTATTTACTGCTTAGAATTCTGGAAATATTAGAACTTAAATTGGTGTCGGTTAGTACTTACAATATCGAATGTTCTTAGGGGTGGAAATTGTTCATTATTGGATTTAGTTGATTGTAACACTGAAAGTAAGCAGAACAATATAGTTATTGCTATATTCTGCATTTTAAAAAATTTATAGGTCTTCTCCAAATAACGACAAAATATAAATAGGTAGGTTATTAATAAAATGGTTATCAATTATTTATCTTGTGTAGTTTAGATTAGAAACACACAGGTGTATGTTTGTGGTGATTTTTTTGTAATTAATAAGGTGTCAATGATATTTTTTAAGATTACATTATATGGTTGTACAATTTTAGGAACATCATTGTATAACATTAATTTTTTTAATCGAAAGTATTTCTTCTTATGCAAAATACTTATCAAGTTATTAATCTTGCATGATAAGATTACAAGTTATTATGGCAACAGAATTATTAATATGTATATTCATTCTCGTATCTGATCATAATTCAAGGTTGCAAATAGGTGTTCGTAAAATCAAATTTAATGAATTAATCAAAGTTAATTTTCAATAGTTAGCGATGGAAGTGTTAATTGAAATTAAATAATTGTTATTTATGAAAAAACGATGAGACCGGTTCTGCACTTGCATGTTTCAACTCTGTAAAAGCAGCTAATTTTACGCTGTGCGTCCTGCAAAGTAAGAAAATAAAAATGTTACCTTGACGTCGGTTAAGAAGAAATATGTCTTCCTTCAGCCTTATTCTCCTAAAAACTTCCTCGGTAGTGTTTCGTAAACAAAGAAAGGCTAATTTGAATTATGGCTGAAAAAAAGCCGCTGTATATTTTCCTACCATTATTCAACTTCAAGCGAAGAAAAATCGTTAGTCGCAAATTGTCTGTAGGTAAATATATTTAAATGTAAATAGGTGTATTGTATAAATTTCCTAATTTACACTGCTCCGTAAAAGAGCCGAGTTGTAATTCAAACAGATATCGCGAGTTTTCGATAAAGTTTTTCAATAAAAAACCTAGTAAAAGTGAAACAAGGCAAAATTGAAAAGTAAAACAAGGGGTGTCGCAACAGTCGAAAAACTTTTTCGACTTATTGAACTTTAGAAGACAGAACTTGTCGAATCGGAGGGTTTAGAAACTTTCAGGGAATAACGTAATTTTATTATAAATTTTTCTCCAATTAAAGTCTTATAAAAAACGTTCGAGTTTCCAACAGGCATCGTATTTTTGAATTTCCGAACAGGCGTAGTTAGTCTTCGAATTCTACTTCTTTTTCAATGGACTATTGGTAATTGATTTTTCATTTGCAAAAGCTAGTTTATGTGCGTAGCTCGCGAAAATCTACAATAGGAAAATGTGATACTAGAGGGCCGTTATCCGCTCTAGTTCGACTCCAATCACGAAAGTAATTACAAATTTATCTTATCTTTCATCGGAAAAGTCAATTTGCAAACCAATTAACTTTGGCTCCATGTGGCCCTTGGCGCGCTAAAACTTCTGTTTGTTTCGAAAGCGTTACGTTTTATTTTTACCGTTTGTATGCGCCTAGAACTTCGGATACAAGTATTCAGATAGAATATTAATTAAGCGCTTCTCAGTTTATTCCGATAAATAATTAACTGAATTAATAACAACAAGGTTTGTTGTAGTAGGTACAACGAAATTTTCTTATTAATTCCTACACGAAACGACGCCCGCTTTAATATTTAATTTAACGCAGGCAGGACGACTTTTGCCTTTTAGTTTCGCAATATTTCCCTGTCCACGTGACAAAGGCGACTCCGGCAAAAAGCAAAACGTGTTTATAAATAGAATATAATTTCTTTTGACTAAAAATGATGTCGGCCCATTACAAAAATGTCTCCAAGGGACGATTCAAGAGGTTTTTGTAAACGCTCCGCAAATGTACGGTCATACATGCAAAAGAAACTCTAGATTACCGAAGCACATTGGCGCACATGAGTTTGTATCACAATAAAAATTTTCCATTCAAAATAAAACAAAAATATAATATTTACAATTTTTTATAACAATAATAATTTGGTTAATCAATTTTGAGCCAAAACGTGTCTAATAATTCTTGATATGCGAGTGTTTGGTTATTTTTGTTAAAATTAGAAAATATTTTTTGGTAAAAATAGGGTCGCGCCGCTGAAGAGGAATATTTTTATTCGCCATAAAACTGTCCGGCTGAATTACATAAAATGTCACGGAGTTTTTGGTTTACGATTGGGCACATGTCCTAAGGCTTTCCGGCAAACGTTGCGTGTGATGTATTGTGAGAGAACGAGCATCTCATATTCTTGAAAGTTCGATTAATCCGTGACCGCGTTATTTTTCGTCAAAAATACGCCCCGTCCCAGAAAAGAATGAGATTTTTAGTCTCTCCGCTGCTCTATACATGTTTCTTCTTAAACTTAAAGGCGATTTGTATAATGAAAATACCACAAAAAATTAATTAAAAATATTTATATTTATTGAATAAATGCAATATGTACCTACCTACCAATTTTAACAATACAACAAATAAATACGCATACACAATATATTATACATAATTGATTAAAAATATACAAACATATATCACTCATAAATCCACGTGTTATCATGTTCAATTAAAATATCGAACACTCGTACAAAAATTTAGGGTAAAATTATTAATATTCCCCATGTCGATAGTAACCCCCGTGGGGATGGTAGTGGTGACCATAACCGTGTCCGTAGTAACCATGGTGACCATGGTAACCGTGATGACCATAGTAACCGTGATGATCATGGTGATCATGGTGATGATGGTGATGATGGTATTCAGGTAAAAACAATGGTTGTAGAAATGATCTGGATTCCTGAACCGGCAAGGCGTTGAACGAATTCATTACGATTGCGAGAACGAGAACCACCATCTTGAATAAAGGAAATTCATTAAATTTCCATAGAAAATGTTAAATTTCAATGAGTTTCAGAAACTTCAAAACTAGTTTAACCATTTCACGGTTTGTAGATGAAAAATTATAAAAAACTAAAGTATCAATTTTTAAATGTTTTCTAGAGACTTTTTAACATGTGAATTCTTAAATTTTAATTCTAGTAAAAGTAAATATAGTAATTAAATAAATAATAATTACATCAATTAATACGTACCAATGATTTTGCCATTTTTACAATACTTGTAGGTAGGTATATTATTTTTTTTCAAAACTTTCACCTTTCAATTCAGGACGATAAATGACCGAGTCTCGCCCAATTCCGAATAAATAAACCCATTCGTTATGTTTTTGCCTACATTTGTATTTATTTCATTAGTCCTGTACTACACCGTACAATCAATTTCGTCAATTATTTGCACATGAATAAAATCACGAAATTGTTCAAAATATTTTATTATGAAATTAAAAATCTTGAAGCACAGAATTGTAATCAATCGTTTCTACATTATCTCTATCACCAATAACCGTAAGGACCGTATTCGTAATTGTTGTAGTAGGAATTGTATGGGTTGTATCCGTAGTAATTTTGATAGCCATAACCGTTGCCGTAACCTTGGTAACCGTATCCACGATGACCATAACCACCATGACCGTAATCGTAGATACCATAACCCTGGCTGTGATGTTTACCACGGGTTTTGTCTTCCACAGCGTTCCTCGTATCCAAATCGGGGGTAGGAAGACCCATTATTGGAGATATTATTAGAACAGCGAATAAAAATGCAACCTGCAAAGAAAATATTGAAAGATTAGTATATTATTAATTCCTGTAATTCTAATTATTATAATTCATATATTGAAAAATATGATTTACTTACAAGTAATTTCACCATTTTTCCGTAAATTTTGTTCAAACCTTCTCTTCTGAACTCTCGACTGCAACTAACAATAACGTTTCAAGTAATTCCCTTTTAATATTCGTCGTACTTATTTACTAACGAGCAAGCTCTTTAAATTCAACTTAAGGAAGAATTTTGTATAATTACGTGTTTACGTAAGTAATTAAAACTATTCTTATACCTAATAGTCAAATTTCCAGAATTCTGAATCACTTTTCATCCTAACTAAACACACTTTTACCTAACTAGACCGGTAATAAGTTTTCAAAGGAAAAAAATGAAATTTCGTTCCTGTATCCAGTATATTCATTTAATGCACGTCAATTGAATTTTAAAATGCATCGATAGAAGAGCCTCTAAAAGCGGTGTATAGTACAAGCTAGAAGTTCCGAATATAATAAGATTTATGTCAAGCAAAATGTAACGAGTAATTTCCCGGAGTAGTAAACGAGCGAAAAAAATGCACGGAGTATAAACATTTTTATTAGTTTTGTATCTTCCCGTTTCTATAATAACTAAAACGAACTATACAGTACGGGGGAAAAGATTTTACGACTACAATAAAGTTCAGCGGTTTAATTTTCAAATTTCGCGTAATTTAAAATTCGAGCTTATCTTTGTACAATGTTATTGGACCATCGAGACTGGAAATTTTCATCGCGCCATCGTTTCGTCTGAAAAATAAATTCAATAGATGAATTTTATCTCGTTTTCTATTCGATAAAAATTAAAGTCTACGTTATATTAATTTATTCACATTCACATCTGCGCTTTATTTTTATGTACACCTATTAAAAATTAGATATCTACCCCTTTTTTAATTTTTTTTAATTTTATAGTGAAGCAGCAATCAGTCTTCTGTTGGGATTATGCAAGAAATGTTTTAAAGAGTAGAATAATAATGTAAATAAATCCGGCCTAATTCCATTTACCCGAAAGATTTATGCAAAAAATTCGTTTTATTAGAATTTAAATTTATTTCACGCCTTATTACAAATGCTAAGCTTTATTCGAGCTGCCTTCCAGTACATAAAAAATATTAATAATGCACCATATTTAATTAACTTGAAAATTGCCCAATATTACCTACCAAACCACCCACAATTTACCTATCGGTATATATTGTTGATGATTTTTGTTCATTTTATACAATTCTTGTGCATCTTGCGTATCGAATTCAAAATACAAAACGGACGGTCCGAGTTCATTTTCCCATCTTCTATATAATCAGTCGAGTCGGCTCGTCCCGGAGCGAATCCGGGCCAAAGTCTTCGCTCCCGTCTTCTCGAATTCACTACATCCTGAAATGGATAGGGATCGTTGAGTGGAACTCATCGAATGTTTACGATTTTCGGAACGTTCTACGAGCAGTTTCGTGAATAAAACGTGGAAAGCTGACCTTGTGCTGTTCGCATCGGAATATGCCCTTTGCATAATGGAAAAATCTAACCGCGTTATCCGGTCGCGAACATTCGAATTCGGGCGAATGTCTAAATAAATGAAGAAAATCGATGTAGCAGCGAGAGAAATTTCAACCGACAATTGTTACACGACAATTTTACGATAAAAAAAATAGTCCACCGTAAATTCCTTCCTCGTTATTTAATTTAACGCGAAATAACTGCTTCGATAAAACGAGCAGATATCATCTTCAATCAATCAAACGTTTCTTTAAAGCAATTCTCTCTGTATATACATATAGATAGTATAAACAGGGGAATTGAAAATCAACAGTAACAGTCATCTACTCAATGTAAATGTTAGACAGGATCTAAATATGCCTTTATTCAATTTACGACGACATGAATATCCTCACAATACACTCGACAGCTCGAAAAAACAAAATAAAATATACCTACTCGCCTTGATAGGCAGCGCGAGCGGAGAATGTACGCGAGAAGTCAAAGTTTTTTTCATGAAATGGGAAACTTTCATAATCGAATCGGAATCGGCAGGAGATATTTCGCATGCTAAACCGTACGAATCAGATGTCAAATAAATCTTTTCAATGTCAGAAGCAGATTTATCCGACCCGCTTCATGAAATATTTGTTTATTTTTACGCTTCCACGACCCTCGGCGGGTTTATTGATGAATTCTAAGAGGGTTTATTAAGACGTTGTTTTTTCGTGCATTATTAATGTTTGATAACTGCCGTGAATTCCGTGTAATATAGAGTTTTCCGAGTTGAGGATATTTTCTTGAGGTCCGGCAACGGGGCGGCCGGCGTCGGCTCGCATTGGAGAGAAAATTCCGAGCGTCGCGACGGCGACGGCATTCGCAGAAATCGCGATCGCGTCGCACATGTTCCGCGGCTCTCGACGTGTGTAGACGGGTTTACATCCCGACGTGGAAAACACGCGGCGCTCGGCAGTATATCGCATGGTTTTTTTTGATTTTTGTGGTCGATGTTAATCGTACCTGCTCCTTATCGAAAGGTAATTTTTACTAGATCGGCCTGTTGATAGTTCGATAAAATTGTCAATTTTCAACAATTCAATGTGAATTGTAAAGTTAAATTAATTTCCAAAAACGCACGTATAAAAAATTTAACCATTGCTTTATTATTAGAATAAAGAATATTTTAAATAATTTTTATATATATATATGATTTACGTTTTTGCATTTAATTTAAAATCATATTCATCACTTGTCAAGTGTTGATGTGCGTATGCAAAATTGCAAGCTAATGTTGCAACAAGTTTTAAATTGAAATTAATTAGTATACTCTGTAAATAAATTAATTAGCTAGTTGCTAAATTTTGTAAATTTGTATTTTTAATCAACGCCTTGCTACGATTTTTTCATATTTTCAATACGAGATTTTCTATTACCATAGTGAACATTATTTAAGTAATAGCTCCATAAATTTACGTATTCTGATTGCTCTTAATCTTAAGTTTCACGGAGATATTTTAGAGGTAGATTGTGCATCTTTTAATTCTTTTGGCAACTTTCCAATAGAAATTGTCACCGCTTTTCCGGAAAGATGGATTTTCCACCAGAGATTTATGATTGCTTGCATGTAATTACTCCATCTACTTTAAACTATAAACTTACTATTTTTTATTTACTAAGCAAATTGATTCAATATATCAACATTTACTCCCCAATATATAATAACAGGAATAATTTTATCCTTTAAATCTAATAATTAAACGAAGTAAAATGTAAATAATACAAATTAGTACTTTAGATAAACTCATTAAGCTTTTAAGAGAGAATAAACTTTGCAACAAAAGAATTAACTAATTTGAGAACAAAGAAAAAAATTAACTGGAAATCTCATATTCCATTTAATCCATGCACGCTAATACGTTGTTTGTTATTTTTTATCCGGTGCCTAGCAGTTAATAAAAGAAACGACTTAACGACGAAAAGTGAAAAAAAAATCCAAGTGAATAATGAGCGTGATTACAAAATTGCCGCTATAAAATTCAAATAAGAACAATAGAAGTGTTCCTTTGAAAATAGCAGCAGCGCCAGTTAATTTCGCCCGGCGTATTCCAGCAGAATGTTGAAGCTATACATTTTCCATACAGAACCGAATTAAAAAATTAAAAATGCATCCCGCATTCCACATTTCTCCCGCGATGCGATAACTCACTCCTCCTTTAACATAAATAATGCACTATCTGGTTTCTTGATTTCCATTTCGATGTTTTACTTGTAAATTCATGTTCTGGAGTGAATAATTCGGCTCCACGACTGCTTAAATATTCACTAGTTTTCTTCATAACTTTCCGAAACTAGTTGCTTGCTGTTATATTCCAGCTTGAGTGCTGTCAACGATGTTAAAGCCGGTTTTTAATTAAGAAAGTATTTTTGGAAGTCGACTATAAGAATTTTAAACTTTGCTTACAAAGTTTCAGAGCTCAAGACACTCCGATTTGTAAGTTTAATAACATTTGGCATTTTTAGAGGAGATGATTGTATTATTAAAATGCTGCAGGTATTTGTTTATTAAAATTTAGCAAAATGTTGAATTCAATAATTTCTATAACAAGTTGTTAAAGTTTACCAAAGATTTTGCAGCCCAATAACTTCTTTCATTTATTTTATTTAAATATAATTATAATACGTAGGCAATTTTGTATATTTTTTCCAGGTCGCCATGAAGAAATGTAAAAGATACTTGTAGAAACATCATCTGAAGAGCGAAGGTTCCTGAAGAATAGTCTAAAATGTTGTTACCCGCAGTTATTGGATGGCTCTTTCAGCTTTGCCTAATTTTTCCAAGTAAGTGCAATTTAATTTCTATATTTTGAACTTTTTAGAGTCATTTTAATATACGCTAATTGTCACTAATACGCCCTAGAAAATCATATTTCGAATTGCATCTGTATGTTTGAATATAAAGCATATACATAAGTAGGAAAAAAATCTGTACATATTTTCCCTCCAACCACCGTTCCCCCGTTGTTTTTATCAACCGCAGATGGCAATCAAGCGTCGATTTTATTAGATTGTAGATTTCGATGTTGATTTTGATTACTGGGATGTTTGCTCAATCAGAACATTCGACGTTTATGATTTGTTAGCGGGGCGCCGGTGAATCGGCCGAGGTAACTAGGTAGGTACTGTACCAACGTTACCGGTAAATATTTGCTCGTCCACTTTGCATTATGGAAATATTATCGGGGAAATTGGAAAATCGACAAATCCGTATGCGCATCAATGTATTTTGAATGCAGTTGCTGGTTTACTTTCGTGCGGTAATCAGCGTGATTAATTGGACTTTAATAGCAAAAAAACTGTGTGGTCACTTGAATTTTGATGTGGCGTTATTTTGAGGGGTGAGTTTTATTTTGGGGTTAATTTTGAATCACCCTGTTTAGGAAACGAACAAATTCGATGCGACCCATTCATTTAATAGCGTCCTTATAATACAGGAAAACCGAATGCGCTCTAAACGTATTACCTTCGGCGTGCCGGGATTTATCCACCCCGTATCCACCCCGCTCCGTGCCGAATTAAAGTATGCATACATGACTTATGGTACGTCAAAAGCATTTTGCATTTTGCGTGATTTATGTTGTATGGAATTGGATTTTGCGAATTCGTTCTTTTGATTTGTTTTCAGCTACCCCGTGAGTGCCACACCGCTATATTGATTGATTCGCGCGGACATTTTCACTTGATTTTCGTTTTTATTGTGGCGTTGGACTGGCGTATTCCTGCTTAATGGACCGACGGAATTTGGAACCTTGCAATTTTTTATTCGGTTGGTATATTTATTGTAAATATGAAGGTATTTTTACCTTCTGGTAAAGGTATATAATTTTTTTCAATTTCGAAATCATTTTTATACCAAATATCAACTCGAGTTTTTTTCCTGTTTTCCTTAATGTAGGTACTTCTCCTCCAGTTATCCTAAAAAAATATTTTCCCACTCGTGTCGCCGCATCATCTTCTATGGAATTTTCTTGTCGGGCGGATGCGCTTCGAAAGCCCATTCGTTTATTTAGCAACATTTTCGCGTTTTCGGATGATCCGGTTTTTCCGTTCTCGGCCCATAAAAATCTGCCGTCGGCTTTTCCATCTTTTACGACGAAAACTGAAAAGCCAATCTTCATTACATCATTACTCATACAGTGTTTCTGGCCATTTTCCGATTTTACTGCCGCGCATTTACACGACCCGTTATTGTTCTACTCAGTTGATAAACCCGTTAAAATTGCAACTGGAGGGTTAATGAAAAAGTTTATGGACGAAAAGTGGATAATGTTTCGGGGAATTGCTCGTAATTCTATTTATGAGCGGCGGTCGATAAGCCGAGCATTACGGACTTGTACTATTTCTCTCCATTATTTATTAATGAAATAGGGGTTATTATTTGTATAAAAACTTTTTATTGTTCAATTCAACCGCTATTTAGACAGTTGCAACTGTAAATACCGTACATTTATTTTTACCAAAGCAATTCATTTTTATTTGCTGAACCTTCAATTTAATTGTCCTAAACGAATTAATTGAAATTTAAAAATCCTTCCCGCTCAATTACTCGCCAATTAATCCAGCTCATCTACATTCCTGGCAATCGAGCGAGAAATTCTGTACCGCTTTTTTACCTCCTCCTCTAAAATAATCGCCGGCGAAACTAGTGCGAGCGAAACGCCAGCCAGTATTCATTTTATCTCAATTACAGTCTGAAATCTCCGGGTTTCTTCTTACATCCCCTAGCGCTACCGTGACATATTAGAAAAATACGGCCGGCAGCCGGAAAAATAGCGAGAAATTCAAATGAATTATTAATCCTTTTTGCCAGGCTCGGCCTCCGGTTGTAAAAATGCGCCTTCGTATTATTAGAGCCGGTAAAACTATAATAGCAACTTTGCGAATTAAGCTGCAGAGAAAAAACTCCAGACGGATTTTTTACAGGAAAACTTTCTAACATACCGCCAATTTTTTAATTCCGCATTAATGCAGTCTTCAATATTCTTCGGATATCATCTAACTTTTTAGCAGGCACGAGCCATCTGGCAATCTGACGTTTACAAAAAAAATGTATCCATTTTTCCATAGAAAATTACCATTTATAATTACAGGCCGAGCGTTTCTTGGCATACCGGATCACGAGTTATTTAAATGTAAATTATAGTGGCACAAAAACGTTTCCATTTAGTCACGGCGCTCAACTTGAATTCGTTACAAATCGTCCATTATGAGCTAAAATACTACAAATATTTCCCAACAATTACTTTGAATTAAAAGTGGATTATTAGAATTATTGTATATTCGATGAAAGTGGGTTTAAAAGAATATTTTTAGTTGATGACAAATAAATTAAGCTCGGGGACTATTATTCAGATGAGGATAAAAGCGTTTTTTTACTAGAAACAAAAATAAATTAAACAAATTAGATGCTGCTACACCAGCAACAAGAAACCCGATATATGTATAGGGTTGTTGCTCGAAAGCACGCTGCCTTATCTAGAAATATACGTCAGGCATTAGCATAAAATAATAATAGGTTTTCTTTGCTCTAAATTACGATAAAATTCCGATAAGCCAGCTACAACTAAGTTAATTGTTTTGTAAATAAATTCGTTGTAAAAGGTATAATTTAGTTGAAAGCGTGCACCCCAGCACGTGCGTTATGTCACAATGTATAACATTTTCTTTTAGAGATATTTTCCAAAACCAATTACGATGCAAGGAAGATTTTCTATAGTAAACTTTAACTTTCTGTACAATACTTTAGTACAATATCTGCTATATTAACGGCATAGCAGGTTTTCTTTTTAGGTAACCCCTCTTCAATTTCCCTCTCTCAGTTATCGCAGAAGGATAGTTGAAATTTAGTACACCATTATCTTCTGAAACGAAACACCACGTGCTTGCTACTTATAAATTCGTTCCAGAAATATCAATGCGAAACTTTGCCCAATAATATTTCGCTTTGACGTTCATCTGTATAAATTCGACGGAAAAGTCGAGTAGATTTCCGAAGGAGGAATTTCTCGTCGTTGCCCGGAAGAGACGGATTCAGATAAATGACGGCCATTTGTATCGTAATGACGGCCGCACGACGCTAACCGGTGATTTACACCCATCAATTTCGAGGGAGAGAGGCCTTTAGAGGAGCCCTCTTCAGTAGCAACTCCTGCAACGAATTTACAAATTGATATTATTGACAATAAATTCGAACAACATAAATGTTGGGCACTATACACTATAATCACTATAATTTAGCGGTGACGTCACGGACTGAGAAATTACAACGTTGCCACGTTTTAATCGTTTTCTTCTACATTACTGATTTTCATATTTACCTTCTGAGTTTATTTTCATTGTAAGCTTAAGTTTTTATGTAATGTGGGTGCCGCCCCTGTCGGTGGTATCTTCATGTCGTTCTAAGGAGGCGGCTAGAGTCGTTTTTTATCCGGCCGGGTGCCCGGTATCTTTTTACGTGGGCCAATTAATCAGACAGGGAGAAGATAAGGTTATCCCCGAGAAAGGTTATTGAAAGAAGCAGAAGATGTAGGAAATTTAAAAGTTACTTTTGCTCCTATTACGAAGGCCCTGTATGCGCATAAAATCCAATTATCCTCGCGTTAATAATTTTAGATTTTTTTGGAACATTTTTTTGGACGTAATTCCTCCGCCGGCCATTAAAAATTCATCGGGAGGCTTCAGAAAAAAAAAGTTTTATGCGAAGACGTAAACACGCATACAGACGAAAACTTTTATACTGTTATTTTTTTATTTCGTTTGGGCTACGCCGCGCCCAATTTAAGCAGGCAGACATCGCTCTTCTCTCTTACAAAAATAATTCTATTTTCCACATAGCGAAATTCACAATAGAGAGAAACCCGACGGAAATAAAAATTGTTGTAAACACTCGCGCTTTATTGTTTATAAAGTTTTCTCGGAGCTCCGAATTTGCTCTACATAACATTAGGTAAAGTAACGGCAAAGTAACAAGTAAGGGTAACTACTTGGAGGTTAAATTCGGCATGAAAAATGCTCCGCCACTTTACGTATAAAGTTGTTAGAAACTCCGACCGCACTTAAGAAAACGACAAATTCGTGTTTTACGTTTAAATAAGGTATTCATCCCACAGGAAGGAAGCCAGGGTCGGTTTTCCTTTATTTTTACCAATATTTCAATACCTAAAATTTACTTATACATCTAATTAATTTCGCATACTTATTTCTTAAAATTGAGTAGGTTAAAATACTCGTAAATTTGGTTATAAATAAAGAAATGCAATTGACTAAAATTTTTATGTCAAGTACATAATAACAAAAAGCCCCTAAGTCCTAACCTGGTTTATAATCATCAACCTTAAGGATGTAAATTAAAAATACGAATCTTCCGGTTACTTGGAGGATAAAACCTTTATATTTCATCGAAGGTTTGCTCTTACAAAGTTCGTGTGCACACCTGATCCGTTTAAAACGCCGGTTTATTACTCTCCGAGAATGTAGGAATATATCCTGAAAGTACTATTTAATGATGCAATCATAATAAAAGAGGAAATTTTGGTGGTAATGTCTTCACTTTTCTTGCTCCTCTTTCGGGATTTGAGCCGACCAATATTGAATTTTTTTTGATAGATTTTAAACGAGAATTATGAAAAGGAAGTATTATTGATAGATAATTAAATGATATCCAATTTGTTGTTAAAAAAATATATTGTTAATACTTTTTTGGCATCCACCAATTTTTAAAATACACACCAAAAATTTAAATGCCACCAAATATTAAAATAACTCCACCACTATATTTCAAT